ACGCAGTGGCATCTCACAAGCTTGCCGTAGAGCACACAGAAACTTCAGTTAGTACAGAACACGGCTAAATTATTAATGTGGTCTCAGAATTTGATCATGTTTTGCCAGAGCTTAAAGACCTCCGCTGGCTACCTGTATTTTCCCCCTCTCCACAAACATTTCACAATGCTGGTTTTGATCTTTATGAATGTAAGGAGAGCCTTGCTGGATTGAGCCAACAAAGTCCACATTTCCCAGCATCCTCAGAGGCCAACCAAATACCCTGGAAAGCTGAAAAGCAGGGCAAAGCGATCAAAGTTTCTCTTGTGGCTTCACCCAACTGTTATCTAGGCTCGTGGCTACAGTGGGGCTTTGGGGGGCTCTGCCCCCTTTCTTAAAGGCACAGCTCCCACAAGATGTTTTCCTATGTTTTTTTCAATCACTTTAAAACATTTTTAAAAGTTGTGTGCTCCTTTAAGCAGAGTGGAGTACTGTAAGGGACTAATTTCTGCACTGAGCAAGGGGGTTGGAGTAGGTGACCTCTAGGATCCCTTCTTACTCCATGTCAAAAAACTGTCTCCTTTAAGAGAGTTTTTCTGCCTAAGAGTTAGCTTTCTTGACTATAGAAGTCATCACCCCCCACCTGCCGGTTTGTTCGCAGAATTGTTGCTTAGGTTGGCAGAAGTGATTCACTTGCAGCAGCTGAGAACTGTCATCTAAAGTGGTTGACAGCTTGCAATTTAGAGCTCTATCCTGGTAACCACTTTCTATTGACTGAATGGCTTTTCTTTCTGCACTGAGAACTTCAGCCCCACCAGAAAAAAAATTGCCCCACAGGTCACAAAATCCTGGCGACAGGCCTGCTGGTACCCAGAGGTATACTGCCTCTGATCAAGGAAATCCTATTTAGCCATTATGGATCTACCCTCCATGAAGTTGTTTCTTGCAGATATTCTAAGCCAGAAGCCAGCACCATATCCCTTGGCAGAGAATTCTATAAAGTAAATTGTGGCACTGTGGAATTCACTGCTGCAACATTTAGCAATCATCATCTTGGAACCAGACTAACATAAGAACATAAGAGAAGCCATGTTGGATCAGGCCAATGGCCCATCCAGTCCAACTCTGTGTGACACAGTGTCCAAAAACCCAGATGCCATCAGGAGGTCTACCAACGGGGCTAGAACTCCAGAAGCCTTCCCACTGTCACCCCCCCCAAGCACCAAGAACACAGAGCATCACTGCCCCAGACAGAGTGTTCCATCTATGTCTTGTGACTAATAGCCACTGATGGACCTCTACTCCATATGTTTATCCAGTCCCCTCTTGAAGCTGTCTATGTTTATAGCCGCCACTTCTTGTGGCGGTGAATTCCATGTGTTAATGACTCTTTGGGTGACTGCTTGGGGTGTGTGTGGAAAGCACTGTCAAGTCGCAACTGACCTATGGGGACCCTGCAGGGTTTTCAAGGCAAAAGATGTTCAGAGATGGTTTGGCCATTGGCTGCCTCTGCATAGCGACCCTGGACTTCCTTGGTGGTCTCCCATCCAAATACTAACTAGGGCCGATGCTGCTTAGCTTTGAAGACACAATGAAATCAGGCTAGCCTGGGCCATCCAGGTTAGGGCAAGAACTGCTTACTCCCATGTAAACCTGCTTGCCAAGATTAAGAGGGAGCCTGCCCACAGTGCCTTTTTGGTAGTGGCACCCAAACTTTAGGCTTCATTGGTTAGGCCTCTAAAATTTTAGGCACCAGTCCTGCCTATTCAGACTTTTGGTGGTGTTGGTTTGACATACAACCTTCCCTGTTCTCTTTTGACATGGGCTGTTGCTTATTTTAGCTGTGAAATGCTTTTACATTTCAATGGGTTTAAAAAAAATCATGTCACCTTGGAGATTTGTCTCAGATAGAACAAACACCCAAGGGATGTAATTTTTTTTTTCCAGCCAGCAAGGAGGAACCTGGTTCATCAGGACTGCCAGCTGTTAAGGCTAACTTCATAGCTCCTTGGACACAGGAGGCAGATTAAATTATGCACGTGTATGCATGTTTGCTTAACTTTCCTAAACGGATTCCTTTTGCTGAACGTTACCAGAAACTGGATTCCGTTGGAGTTGCATCTTTCCTAGGAGAACCTGCAGGCCTATGAAATTGACAAAGAGCTCTCTGCCCATGAAACACTCATAAGAGCACTGGCTCATTACAAGGCGACCTTGAGGAAGAATTTCTGATCTGAAACGGTCTTCTAAGATCCAGATGTGCCCATGGCTGCATTACACAGCTGCGTGATTTCTGAGACGAATTTTTGCTGTGAAATTAACCGAGGAATTGCGTATTGAACTTTCTATTTGATGGACTTTGTGAATGTTTACAACAAACTGCGATCCTCTATGAATTTTGTCGCACTGAAACTGGCCGACTGATTTGCACTTGCAACAAGATATTATTACAGTTTTTGTTTTTTCCCAGTCTTTGTATACTGCAAGCCCTGATGGTTCTAACACAACCTGAGAGGACATGAATAATTGGAATGAACAATGCGCCCCTGGAGGAAACAGCAGCTTGGGGGCGGGGGGACAGTTAGCATCGCCTCCCCATGGAGCTCCCCGCCCTCCCTAAACTCCGCCTTCGCCCAGCACCGCCTTCCAAACCTCCTGGAACTTCCCGCACCAGAGCTGACAACTCTAGAACCTTCTCTGATGGTGGTCTTCTGTCAAACCATAGTTGCCAAGCAGCACTGTGAAGTAAGAAGAGTGAGGAGAAACAGCCTGTGAGGTTATTAGAAGAAGAGGAAGAAGAGATTGGATTTATACTCCGCCCTTCACTACCTGAAGGAGTCTCAGAGCGGCTTACAAACTCCTTTCCCTTCCCCTCCCCACAACAGACACCCTGTGAGGTGGGTGGGGCTGAGAGAGCTCTGACAGAAACTGCTCTTTTTCAAGAACAGCTCTTATCAGAGCTACGGCTTGCCCAAGGCCATCCAGCCAGGTGCAAATGGAGGAGTGGGGAATCAAACCCGGTTCTCCCAGTTTAGAGTCCACGCACTTAACTACTACACCAAACTGGCTCTGTAGTGTTCTACCAACCATAAGCAAGTTGCAGGAACAGCCATCTCAGAGGAGAGGTCTAAACCCAGGGCTGTAGGTGGTTGTGGGCTGGTGATATATGATGCCTGGAGGCAACAGAAGACAGCGAAGGGACCTCCCATCACGCTCCTCATTCACTGCCAGGAAGGCAGATCCCAGTGCTCCCTCTAAGCTGAGTTAGTGTGAGCGAGCTCACAGTTCTTTAGCCTCCAGCTCACAGAGTTTAGTCTTTGCTCAGGAAGGGATGGCTCCAGAGCCAACTAATTTAGGCAGCAGCCAAATCGCTCGTACAAACAACTTTAATGCCAGCAGCTCGCGAAGTAGAATTTTTGCTCACAAGACTCCGCAGCTTAGAGGGGAGCATTCCCATCTATATACTGCTGCACTTCAAAATAGTTTAAATACTCAAAAGGGAGAAGTGGAGACGAAGAAATTCCCTTTGGAGTGTGTGTTTGTGTGGGAAGCGGGGATCTTTTCCCTCCCTGCCCCAGAATACTTCGAATTAAGATGCGTAGATCACGGGCTTTAAAAGGATTTTATTCTACCTAAAATCCAGAGCCAAAGTTCATAAACAGACAATGGGGTTGAATTGAGGTTTGTTTGTTTGTTTGTTTTTACACAGGAAGGTACATAGCGGAGGCCCGGGTTCAAATTCTCCACTCGGCCATGAAGTTCATTGGGTGATGATGGGCTTAGTTGCCGCCTTCCTTTTCTTGGCCTCTCCTACTTCGCGGGGTTGTTGCACGATTAAAACTGGGAAGGGAGAACCACGCATACCACCCGTGCCCCTTGAAGGCTGTATCAAAGCAACACACTGCCCCCCCCACCAAGCGAGTGGGGACCACCGGTTCAGATCCAGAGCATTTTAATCTGAAAGATTAAGTCCCCCTGAATAAAGATGATACTGAATGCAGGGGGGGGGATTAAATCACCCATGCAATATTTTTTTAAAAAAATCAGATCTAGTTTTGCAAGAGAGCCGTACGGCAAGCTGAGGGTTTGCACAACAGCGGCAGCTGCCCCCAGATTTATGCAATGCTGTAAAAGCTTCGTACATTTAGACCCATTTGCTCCCTAGAAACATTTACAATCTGACCCCTGCCACATGGATCCCCGTCAGGGAAAAAAGGCTTTTCAGTGGCTACTGCAATCTGGCCGGGGTTTCTCCTCTGGGTAGATGAAAATTGGCACTCTTCGGTGCTACCGTCTGCTCCGACGACATTCTACGGGCACTTAAAACCACTGGTCTTGCCATCACAGAGGATAAGCGTGTTCCATGTGCACGTCAGAGTAGTGCAGAAACTGGCCTTCATCACAGGGTTCAACACCTTGAGAATTTTGGCTTTGATTTAAAAAAAACACACACCAAGTTACTAGCCCTTAAAGTTGTAAAGAAGTTCCAGTGTTTCGTTGTGTTTCCCAAGGGAGCCGTGGGGTGCTGAGGCCTCATTCCGCAGGCTTTGGTGCCACACGTAGCTCACTCCCTGTCCTTGTTACAAGATGAATTATACAAAATCAACACATATATGCAAGTCTGCCTCTCCACGGGACCACGTGTTGTGTTCGCCTTTTGCTAACACTCAAGAGTACGCAGAGCCCTTGTTATTGCTCCTTTCTGCCACAAGAGGGCAGTTTCCCCATCAAATATTAAACTGGAAATAAGACAGTTTTGCAAACGACACTAATATACAGACGCAAATGCACCCCCTTAGTTACTCTGGAGCAATAAGGCACTGGAAAAAAGGGAAGGGAAACTCTTCCCCATGCAGCAAAAATATTAGCAGCATTATGGGAATGCCTGACAAGATTACCGGCTAATAAGACGGAAGGGATACAGTTCTGGAAGCCGGCCTCTCCCCTAGCTGAAGCCACTGCAAGCGGGATACTTTGGCTGTAGCCTTCCTTACTTTCAGAGACTCTTTTTTCCTCCTTTGTCGCCTGCCTCCAAATCCGAAATTCCTCATTCTTACAGAAGAAGGAAGCAACACCCGGTACTACACAAACGGCCTAAACCCTCCCTCTGCGCTCTGTTGCCAAGTGTCAGCTGGTTCACTTTGGTGAAACACCGGTTCTACTCCAAAGGGTCTGTCGACCTCCTCCCTCCCCAACCCAAACAGCTCTTGCTCGCTCGGGAAGGCTACCTTGGCAAAAGGGGAGTCCCCACGCAAACAGCTCAGCTCCCTCCTCACGTGCGTGCGTGTGTGTGGGGGGGGGTCAAGCCAATAACCCCTACAATCACTAGAGCTCTGCAATCAGCGGGTTAACTTCCCTCGCTTGCCAAGGCACGGGGAGGAAGGGTGTCTAGCGGCTTGGTCTCACGCCCCTTAAAGGCCCTCTAAGCCCCACTTGCTCGCTTGCAGAAACCGTCTGGCACAATAGGCTCTGCAAGTACTTTCTGCAGCATAAGAGCGCCGGTTTGGGAGGCACCGTGGTCTGAATGGCACAGAGGAAGCCATGGGGAGGAAGGAAAGCTGGCGGTGGCGCTTGGATGGTCTCCGGCAGACAGCTTGTTCAGAAGGCCTTCCACCGCTTTTCCGTTCCAATTAAGGCAAAGGAGAGCCCGCTTCTGGCTCAATGTGAGCCGGAATCCTAGAACGATGAGGACAAAAAGGACCCTGAGTATGTGCCAAGTTCCTGACAATGGTTATCACACACACCGGCTTTTACAAATCAGGAACCAGACAGAAAGTGTTTCCAGGTCAAAGGGCACAAATTTCCAGGCCCAGTTTAGCCCCACAGCTCTCTCTCTGCCAATCAGCAACTGCCTTCCTGGCCGGAGTTCCAGTTCCATTTGGAACAGGCATTCAGAACAGTTACCCGAGCGACGTAGCATCGGGTCGGGCTCGGAGCTCGAGCACAAAACAAGTTTTGGACTTATGGTCCAAACAGCGGAACAGTTTCTCTCCATAAGAAGTCTTCACACAGCACCCGTATGTCCACGCTTCAAGGCAGCAGGGTAATACTTCAGAAATATCTTCTGGGCTATCGCCAGGGTGTTACCGATGGGCCGGACTGGGTACCGTTTCCCATTGTAGATGAAGCCCCTCTCCACCTGGAAAACGGCTTGGTTGAATTGGTTCTGGTGGAAGGGTGTGCCAGCGTCGAGGCACTCCACCAGGGTGGAAACAAAGAGAGTCCAACGCACCCCATAATAGTCCAACACCAGCCCTCCTAGCTGCTTGTTGGCGTAGTCCAAGATGTTGCCGAGAGGTCCCCAGAGCGTCAATTGGTTGCGCGCGTTGAGGTCATACAGCTCCGCCTCTTTGTCGCTGGTGGCCGTCAAACGGGCGGATTCCAGCCAGCGCCCCAACAAAAACCGCTTGTCGCTGGCCAGGAGGCTGTCTAGTTCTGGGAGGAGGTCGTAGACCAGCACGCCGCCGGCAGTGAGCAGGCGAGACAGCACATGGCCCTGGAACGCCTGCTTGATCTCCCAGTAATAGTCGCTCACCAGCTGCTGCATGGCCTGGCGAGCCACGTCCACCAAGTCATAGCGGAAGGTGCTACTGGCGTACAACTCTCCGGTAGCACTCTGCAACAGCCGCCAGGCTTCATAGACAGCGCTCTGGTTGTACCACAGCTCCGTGTTCATCCGCAAGGACGGGCGGCGCACGAGCGGGCTGTGGTTGTGGTTGACGCAAACCCCCGAGCAGTTGTAGACGCTCCGGAGCAGCAACTGCCAGGCGGCTGTCGCCTGTGCGTCCCTGGCGCCGTAGCGCTGCGCGGCGTAATCAGCCACCCACTGCTGAAGGTCCACCGGCTCCTTGCGCCAGCCCAGGTCCGTCATGAGCTCGTACATCACGTCGTTCTGCTCGATGCCTTCGGGGGTCAGGCCGACGCCCACCATGGTGGAGTTGGGGAACCGCCTGGCCGCAAAGGGGCCCTGGTTGACGCTCTCCACCGTGCCGAAAAGACCGTGGTTCCCACCGAAGTTGTGAAGCATGCACCAGATAAAAGGCTGCCCGTAGAAGGAGTCTGTCCAAGGATAGACGGGCTTGGATTCGGCAAAAAGGTCCAACACCACCATCCGGCCAAGAGGCACGCCCCGCAGGAGCGCTCGGACTTGGGCCGGCTGCCAGAAGTCAGGCTGGTGCTGGAAGAGCCAGCCTTGCATCAGCCACACAGCTCCAGGGTCAGCTGCAGGGAGAGACAACAGAGGAGAGAGAGAAAATGCTTACGAATCTGTAATGCAATTTAAAGAAGAGAAGATTTATACCCCACCCTTCGCTTGGAGTCTCAGGGCGGCTTACAATCTCCTTCCCTTCCTCTCCCCATAACAGACACCCTGTGAAGGAGGTGGGGCTGAGAGAGCTCTGAGAGAACTGCTCTTGAGAGAACAGCTCCGAGAGAACTTGTGATTGACCCACGGTCACACCAGCAGCTGCACATGGAGCAGTAGGGAATCAAACTCAGTTCTCCCAGATTAGAGTCCACGGTCTTAACCACTACACCAAACTGGCTCCAGTACTGTTTCGTGGGAGGACACAGTCCCCAGCTTATAACAACCAAACAGTCTTGGCTTGGCTTCCTGTTGCAAGGAAGTCTGGGAAATGTAGTTTCTTGGCCCCAAATTCTCCCCTAGAGACTCATCAGTTCCAGAACTGCAATTCTAAGGACTCCCTGCAAATAAAAATGTGTGAGCAGTACTTTGAGGAGACAGTATAGTAGAGTAGGTGGATTTGGACTCGGGACATCTGGGTCCAAGCCCCGCCCCACAAGAAACTCAGTGGCTGGTCTGTTTCTCAGCCTAACCTGCTTCACCAAGTTGCTGAGAGGCTAAAACAGGATAACGTAGCATATATATACCTACCACAGGATAACATAGCATATATATGCCTATGAGAGTCAGTATGGTGTAGTGGTTAAGTGCGCAGACTCTAATCCGGGAGAACCGGGTTTGATTCTCCACTCCTCCACTTGCACCTGGCTGGATGACCTTGGGCAAGCTGTAGTTCTGATAAGAGCTGTTCTTGAAAAAGAGCAGTTTCTGCCAGAGCTCTCTCAGCCCTGCCGACCTCACAGGGTGTCTGTTGTGGGGAAGGGAGGGGAAAGGAAAGGAGTTTGTAATCCGCTCTGAGACTCCCTTGGGTAGTGAAGGGCGGGGTATAAATCCAATCTGCTCTTCTTCTTCTACCTGTGGGAAGCAACTGATCTGACTTCCCCCCTTCCTGCCTGTTCTCTGCCCAGAGGGGGAAAAACTTTTAAAACTCAGAGTGAAGGTTTTGCTCATTTCAAACCTCCAAAGGAAAAAAATGCATTTCTTCACGTTACCCTATATACCTGGAAGGAAAGACGGGATACAGTGTAGTCATTCTTACAAATAATACTTTCTAATTAAGTACAGCTGGCTTCTTGCTTTAAGCACCGAAGGAAGCCAAAGGCAGGGCCAGGCCACCCATACCACCATTATGGTCAGGAATGCAGGGGCTTCCATTGTTCTGTGGTTACGCAAGAAAAAAGTGGAATGTAAGCTGAGTGCAAAATCCAGCAACCTGACAATCTCTGCAATGACAAACAAGCAATTTTCCAGGTTGGTGCCTGATGAAATCTTGGGGAAAGTACCAAGGGAACACATGCAAAAAACTGCAATGCTATATAGACAAATACAAGCAAGGGGACGTGTAAGGGCTCAGGGGAGAGGAATCTTATTGAGCCAGCTTGGTGTAGTGATTAAAAGCGGCGGACTGTAATCTGGAGAACCGGGTTTGATTCCCCACTCCTCCACATGCAGCCAGCTGGGTGACCTTGGGCCAGTCACAGGTCTCTCTCAGAACTCTCTCAGCCCCACCTGTCTCGCAGTGTGTCTGCGGTGGGGTGAGGAAGGGAAGGCGATTGTCAGCCACTCTGAGACTCCTTTGAGTAGTGAAGAGCATTGAAAACAGATCAGCCAATATCATAATGCCCCTATATAAATCAATGGTGCGACCTCATTTGGAATACTGTGTGCAGTTCTGGTCACCACACCTTAAAAAGGACATTATAGCTTCAGAAAAAGTGCAGAAAGGGGCAACTCAAATGATAAAAGGGTTGGAACACTTTCCCTAAGAGGAAAGGTTAAAGCGCTTGGGGCTCTTTAGCTTGGAGAAACGACGACTGAGGGGAGACATGATTGAGGTTTATAAGATTATGCATGGAATAGAGCAGGTAGAGAAAGAAGTACTTTTCTCCCTTTCTCACAATACAAGAACTCGTGGGCACTCAATGAAATTGCTGAGCGGTCGGGTTAGAACGGATAAAAGGAAGTCCTTCTTCACCCAAAGAGTGATTAACACATGGAATTCACTGCCACAGGAGGTGGTGGCGGCGGCTACAAGCATGGACGGCTTCAAAAGGGAATTAGATAAGCATATGGAGCAGAGGTCCATCAGTGGCTATTAGCCACAAGGTAAGTGATGCTCTGTCTTCTTGGTGCTTGGGGGGGTCAACAGTGGGAGGGCTTCTAATTTCCTGGCCCCACTGGTGGACCTCCTGATGGCACCTGGTATTTCTGGCCACTGTGTGACACAGAGTGTTGGACTGGATGGGCCTTTGGCCTGATCCAACATTGGGGTATAAAACCAGAGTGGGGTATAAAACCAGCTCTTCTTCTTCCCCCTCCTCTCTCCACTATCTCCAATTTACCTCCTTCCCTCCCACTCACAGCCTCTGCAGCTTCTCCCCTTTCTTTGCTTCCTTCCCTCCCTCCCTGAAGATCCGTTGCCCCCTCTTTGGTCCATTTCCCTTTCCTCGCTCTTACTGTTGCGGGTTCAGTCTTCCCACCCTCCTCCTCATCTTTTCTGCCTCTCCCTCCCTTTTAAAGTTTAGCTGTGGCGGCCATTTTGGATTCCCTTGGCCAGCCATCGCTAGCCTTTTTGAGCCTGTGGGCAGCTCTGGAAGTCTGATGAAGCCTGGCGGGTGTCCTGTCTAGCGTGAGCTGCAGCTGAGGCAAACGCTTTCCAGGTGTGAGTCAACGCACAGCCACTGAAGAGAGCTTAAATCGTCTTTATTTAACTTCACATGCATTCAGTAGATCATTTACTCACAATCGAGCTGATAGCTGGATAGAGCATTACATCTTTCTGATCTAGGTCAATCCTATGGCCGTGGTGAGAAAAGAGATGGGCTTCCCCTCTCCTTGCAGTAAGGGTTGATGGACAAAGAAACGGAAAAGAACAATAAAACTCCTATCTTTGCGCCTCTGAGCTCAGGAAATTACTCTTAATGAGCCAGTCAGAGGGAAGCTTCTGGGACCCCTAACTGTGGACTCCAATTCCCAGGTGCAACTACTCTTAAAGGTACATTAACGCTGGCTGGGGGTAGCACAGCGGGCGCAGCCACAAAATGGCTGCCACATTAGGTGGAGCTAGCCAGGAAATGGCTGCTGTGGCTAACCTTCAGTCACACATTACGTGCCAACAAACATGACTGACTGACAGTCACACAGGGAAGATCCTTGTGCTGTGGTGGCAAGCTGCAGCCAAAGCAAGGTTTTTAAAAATCTGCACAGCCAATCACATTTTGCCTTGCAGCCCTGACCTGCATAGCCCCGGCAAGCACGATCTCGTCAGGTCTAGGAAGCTACGCAGGGTCGCCTCTGGCCAGTACTCGGAAGGAAGACCTCCTTGGAATACCAGAGGCAGGAGGCAGGGGCAGGCTTTATTCAGCCACCTCTCTGAATATCCTCTAGGCCCCGAGTAAGGGACAGTCACCAGAGGTCACCATGACCTCCAGGTGCACACACACTCACATGCACTCACACACACACACACACACATGCACATATTTTTAAAAATACAAAAATACAAAAAAAATACCAGGAAGGGTGTCAGCGGATGCTGTGGTGCCCATGGTCACCATGTTGGGGGACTCCTGAGCAAGGCATCCACAGTTGCCTAGGCAACCAAAAGCGGCTGCTGAGATCTCAAGAGGGAATCTTGTGAAATCTAAGCAGTTTAAAAACCAGTTTCGTTCTTTTGCCTCCTTCTATTTTTAAAATTTTGATATTGGTCTGCCCCTGGCCCCATTGTATAGATTTTTATCCACATTCTGAGACCAGATTCAGAATTAGATACATAGATAAAATCATGGACTTCCATTGATCTTAGCAGGTGAGGGTTCAGTGCTCAATAATCCTTCTGACCCTTATATTATACAGAACAAAATATATGCTAACCTGCTTCATTTACATAATGTAGGTACTGTCAGCAAGCTGCCATTGTGTTCTGTGTTACCTGTACGGCTGTACAGTTCATTCCCCCCCCCCTGCCTGCTAGCTTGTATTTTACTCTGCTGTAACGCTGAAGCCAAACATCTGGAGGACGTGGTGTAGGAGGTGAGCTTGAATGCTAGCTTGTTGCTTTTAGAGCCTGGGAACTGCACCTGTGTTATGTCTGGAGATAGTAGTGTTCCCAGGGATTGAGCGCGCAACCGTTTCCTTTACCCGCCAGAGGGAAAGTGATCCATTGGTTCGGTACCTGGTTCAAATCCCTTTATTATATTTGCCCTGGCTGTTTGTACCCATTCCTAACAAAGGACTTGTTTGAGTATCTTTCCAAAGCTTTGAAATAAATTTTGCTTTTCTGAAACGTGGATTTATTCTCGATGCTTGGGGATCCAACAGGTACACTGTGGGATTTAATTTACCTTGGTGATGTAGAATTATAACAAAAAACTGAACACGTGCTAAAACCCAAAACTCTTTTTGTAGCAGGAACTCCTTTGCATGTAGCCAGTCCTCCAAGAGCTTACAGTAGCCCCTGTAAGAGGAGCTCTGTAAACTCTTGGAGGATTGGCTACATTAGGGGTGTGTCGCCTAATATGCAAAGGAGTTCGTGCTACAAAAAGAGCCCTGCTAAAACCCACAAACTGAAACCCTGTATAAGGAGGCACCTTTTGCCTGCGCTCACCCTCCCCATCTACACATCTACCTAGATTGCCCGAAAGGGTACAGGCAAGACAGAAAGGAAAAAGAGGAAGGACGAAAACCTGTTACATCATACCTCCGGCCATCGACTGGAAAACAGCCGCGCTGACCTTGGACAGGTAGGAGGGTTCCGATGAGAGTGGGCGCATCTCGTTGAAAGTGTCAGCGCTGTAGACGTGGTCGGTTCCAAACTCCTTGATCAGTTCTTTTAGGAAAAGGGTCCCGATGACCTGGAACATGGGATCTTCAGGCGACAGGAGGTAGGTGCACGAGCAGGCACAGTCAAAGTGGCTCCAGCTTCCCAGACGTGTCGCATTGAGCCGGGGGAAAACCCTGCAGTGTGCAAATGAAATTTGTAAAGAAACTCTAGCGCTAATGTCTATCTTACAAGTACTCCTTCCATAGGACCTAGGCTGCGGTCAGACGTGCCATTTGGTGCGGTCGAGAAGCGCTCCTATTCCATCTGTTGGCATTTGGCATGGAGTTGCTCAATCACACATCCCAGTATAATCTGTTTCGCTGCAGGCGCAGCCCGTTACTGCGCAATCAGACGGCACGTTGGGGCGAGTGTTTTTTTTGTTTTGGTCTTTTTGTGTGCATGTGCATAAACGAGGAATCAAACCCACTCATGAAGAGTTCTCCATGGAGTTCTCCATGGACTGATTATGCGGCTATGCGCATATCACTAAGCGGGGGGGGGGAATGGCCCCAAGTCCTGATCTGAAACAGACCCATGGGAGCCACTATTCGCCCACTGGGGGAATTTACAAGTACTGATGGCTAGACGCAGGTTTCCCCAATGAGGCAAATAGCCTCTCCCTCGGACCACTTCAATTTTGGAAAACAGAGCAAAGGATGAAGGCTAAATCCCCTACTCCTCGTGTCCCGTGGCCCTCAATTAGGCCCAATTGCACTTGGGGATTGTGTTCCTAGCACGGCACTCCAGGCATACTCAAAGTCCTTGTGGTGGCCACATGTGCACCATGGGGACTTTTGATCGTGTGAATTGGCCCATAATTTGCAAAACACAGCAGGAACCATAATGTGCCCTTGTGGCCCTCAGTACAAACGGAAAATGATGCACCACCTGTAGTCATATTTGCTGCATTCCATGTGATTCTCCCTGGGGTGGCTCCAGCCACCTCTTTCACTCTGTCTCACCTTACTAGAACTCTTGTCCCATGTGGCTTTTGAACCTGCAGGTCCCCTGATTCTCAGCCTAGCTGTGGCCAAAGGGGATGCTTCCTTCCTTTTTCACAGCAGAAAATCTGCTTGGATCCATAAGAACATAAGAGAAGCCATGTTGGATCAGGCCAATGGCCCATCCAGTCCAACACTGTGTGTCACACAGTGGCCAGAAATACCAGGTGCCATCAGGAGGTCTACCAGCGGGGCTAGCAATCCAGAAGCCCTCCCACTGTTGCCCTCCAAGCACCAGGAATACAGAGCATCACCGTCCCACATATAGTGTTCCATCCATACCTTGTGGCTAATAGCCACTGATGGACCTCTGCCGCCCTGAGCCCTGCCCGTGGGGAAAGGAGCAGGATATAAGTTGAATAAATGAATAATAAATATGTTCATCCAATCCCCTCTTGAAGCTGTAGTCATCAGTACTTCCCTAGTTCCACCACCATAGGCTGTAAAACACAGCCAGATCTCTGGCCAGCTTCTCACCATTCCCCAGAGTGCTTAACACTTTTCTAGGAGCACAGCAAGGACTCAAAACAGCCTCTCCTATGCGCCAACCATACCCTTCCCAGCAGCCTCAGTTAATGCCCTGACCTGGATAGCCCAGGCAAGCCCAATCTTGTCAGATCTTGGAAGTGAAGCAGGGCCGACCCTGGCTAGTATAGCACCTGGATGGAAGACCTCCAAGGAATACCAGGGCTGGGAGGCAGAGGCAGGCTACTCAAGCCACTTCTCTGAATGTCCTCCATGCCCCAGTAGGAGTCACCAGAGGTCGCCCTGACTTCCAGGCACGGGCATGCACACACACACAAAATAAACACACACACGCACACAAAAGACCACCATCCACAGTTAAAACACGGGCAAGACTTGCCTTAAAATGCCATGGGGGATGTGTCCAGAGAAGGCGGGCAGCACCGTCAACATTCCCAGGGAACGCATTCTCTCCAGGATCCTATACTGGGAATGCAAAGAGAACAGGCTGGGGCAGTGCAAAGAGGTCCTGGGGGGGGGGGGGTATCTGTATTGTGCCTCCCCTTAGTAGCAGACCACAAAAGGCATGTCCTCCCCGACTTAGTAGTTGCCTATTGAGCACATTTCATCTTCACTCTCCGGGCAAGGCGCTCTGAATGATACATGGCTCTCCCTTCCTCACAATAACCCTGTGGATTAGGCTGTGAGAGAGTGTCTACCCCAAGGTCACCGAACAAGTTTCCATGGCAGAGCGAGGAACTGAACCCAGGCCTCCTGGGACCTAGTCCAACACTCTAATCACTACACCAAACAGAACAAAGTCTGAGTCCAGTGGTACCTTTAAGATCAACAAAGTTTAATTCTGGGTCTAAGCTTTCTTGGGCACGCACACTTCTTCAGATACCACACAGATACTCCAGCACTGAATAATTTCAGTTTGTTTATCCTGCCTTGTCCCCCTCATGGGGCCAGAAAGTGGCTTACAAAAATACAATTAAAAATAAGAAACGGGGGAAGCTGACGGGGGGAGCTAGGAGCTGCACCACTTGGACATCAGCCTGGGTTCATTCAAAACTATCAGCTGTCCGTGCTATTTTGCTGGGGAAAAGAGCCTCGCCCCACTTTGCTTCAGAACCTCTTGCCGATCGGTGAGGTTACAGTGCTCAGACACATCCGAAAGGGTCCTGTCGTTCTCGGAGCAATACTGTCTGCCCATCGACTGATTTTTATTAACGTGAATTGCCCTGAGAACTGTTACAGTTGAAAAGCAGGACATTAATATTATTTGCAGATACGTAAACCAAGAAACTAAGAGTGCGGGAGGGGGCAGGAAAAGGCAGGAGGTTGAAAACAGCAGCACCACCTCTTAGTTTACCTAGTCAGTTTGTGACTGAGACTAGATTTGTACTAGGAAGTCATACTCTGGGCCACAGCAGGCATGGTGTCGGCAGCACTGTTCCCTCTAAGCTGAGTTAGTGTGAGCTAGCTCACCGTTTTTTAGCCTCCAGCTCACACATTCTTGTCCTAGCTCAGGAAGGATGGCTCCAGAGCAAACGAATTTATGCAGCAGCCGAATCGCTCGCTCACAACTTTAATGCCAGTTGCTCACAGAGTCAAATTTTTTCTCACAAGACTACACAGCTTAGAGGAAGCATTGGTCGGCAGCCATGTTTTGTCTTTCTGCATGACTGCTTTGTTCATCTGTGTACAAAGCAGAGGGTGAGGAAGGTGCTGGGTAGAATCTTGACATCCAAAACGACACAGGGGTGTGAGTGAAGGGAGCAGGACTCTCACTGTTCTCCAGCCTCGACTGAATCACCTCAGGAACTTTTCAGCCAGTCCAGCTCATTTTCGGTGCTGGGAAAAGGATGGGAGACAAGTGCCTGAGGGAACGTTATACAGAGCGCCCAGGTCTGCTTTTTTGTGTATGCCTTGTCATGGCTGGTTATAGAATGACACCTTAGAACATCCATGATGCCCTGACTACTGTGGTTTTGGAGGACTTAAAAGTTTCCATTGTATGTGACAGCCTTGCTCAGCATTCCTGAAAAATACAGACTGTGGAGATTTTGGAGGTCACCCTCTCCTGTCTGAAGGAGACAATCTTATCTGCTGACACTGTTTATACCAGTAGAGTCACAACATCCTAGCACGTTGTTGTGGTGAAGCTTTGTGGAAAGTTTTCATGAGCTTTTAGCTTAAAAGTGGGGGAAGAATCAACTAGCAGGACAGAGCCTGAAATGATGCCAAAGAGTCTGCTGTACTTTTTATTCATACATCCTTAAAAACTGCCACTTATTTTTATAGATACACTAGGAAAAAGGCCCGTTGTGGAAATAAATACAACGATCTCTAGAAAGAGGCTCTGGGCAGGTGCCCTGGCCTTGGACACTCAGTGTCAATTTGCTGTTTTGACCTCAACAGGGTATAATGACACTGAGTCCATCATTTTCTCCAGAGGAACTGATCTCTGCTACCTAAAGAACAGTTGTAATTTTGAGGGATCTCCAGCCCTCACCTGGAGATTGGCAATGATGGTTCTCCAGAAGGGAATGGTTGGTTTGGAGGGTGGAGTCTATGGCTTTGTACCCGTCTGAGGTCCCACGCCTCCTGAAACCTCACCCTCTCCAGGCTCCATCCCTCACATCTCCAGGAATTTCCCACCTGGAGTTGGCAACTCTATCTCCTTCCCAGCCAAGCATCAACCTACCTTTATTTCCCCCTCACTCTTCAGCTTTCCACCCCCCACACACCTGCAGCCTCTCCCATGCTCTGAAGCCCTGACTGCTACGTCACATTGGCTGTCATACGGGGGCCACCTCAGCAGCATATAAGGATACAGAGCCCACCATTTTCTCCAGGGGAACTGATCTCTACCATCTGGAAAGCAGTTGTAATTCTGAGTGATCTCCAGCCCTCACTTGGAGATTGGACACATTTTACCTCAGAACAGCAAACTGATTAGAATGTTGGAGGTAAGACTCAAGCAATGCAGCCAGTGGATAGGGACAGATTCTGAGTGACACACCAGAGCGCCAACCAATTCCGGAGTGTGTGGAATGTTCTAGAGAAGTGCCACCACCATTCGACTTTTATATATAAGGGAGATATGCTTTTACAATAAAAAAACCACAAAAAGGGCTCAACGCTTTGGATCCTCTCTCGATTCTGTAGGAGAATAATACTATTTAAATTCTAGCAAATGAGCTAACTGGATAGTGTGATGGCTTCCTAAATCCTGGCCTGATAGCCTCCACCAAAAGGGATGTCAGGCTCAACACAATGTCTACTTTACAGGTTAGCACAAAGATGGCTGCCGCTACGAATGTATCTATTTTGGAGCTTGGCCAGCCTGCGAGACCAGTTCTTACCAAAGTTGGCTGAGGCAGCAGTGCGTGTTTATATGACTACCAACTGAGGTAAACGGAAGGAGAGTTTGTGAGGTACTGGGAGGAAAAGCTGCTCCAACATGTCACAGCTTTAGCTCACAGCCAAGGCTAGCTACCTGCAAATAGAGCTGCTTCAGGTGCCAGGAGAGAGGCAGCGGCCCTGCCCAGGTATGCAGGTTCCCCATGCGGTTCCAAGCGAGGAAGGCCGGGCCTGTGAAATACTCATTGATCTCCGACTGGTTCAGTCCCAAAGACAAATACACCTGGAGGGAGACAGAGGGCAATTTATTTATTTAGATATTTATACCCAGCGGGGACCCAAAGCAGTTTACAATATCCTTCTGTCAGAACCCACAGCTAACAACGAAGTACACGCATTCAGGAACGGTTATACTTTTATTGCAAAGCTATAGATGCAGTAACACAGGCACTGTTAGGAATGGCCACAGCCACTAGAACATAATAGGATATAGGGTATTCGTATGCACCCCCCATGGCATGGGCCAATTAGGTACCCTCCCGCACGCGGGACAAGTTAGAAACCGTTAGCTGGCTAAAGCTGGGAATTAGGAGTCTCTCACGGTACACAGGAGACTTCCAGACAACACAACCTCCTCCTGCACATCTGTAGAGATAAGCGTTTCAGCAAAGGCATAACAGCAGGGATAGGAATGCAATAGCACTTAACAAGACACAGAATGAACTCCCCAACCCCCATGGCAGCATAGCTGACACCTTCTCCCCTTCGTCAATTTACACCTACAACCCTGTGAGGCATGTTAGGCTGACCAAGTTACCTGCCCAAGGTCACCCAAGCAAACTTCTACGACTGAGTAGGGATACAAACCTGGGACTTCCAGATCTTGAGGGCCAAACTACACATTAGTGTTTTAAATAATTTGGTTTGGGTTCCACATATTTCCACCTGGGCATGTGGGAACAGCAAAAATCTGGAAGTAACTCCCACTTTCCAGGGGTTTTTTGGTGCAGGAAAAACAGCGGGGTGGGAGACAGCCAGGAGCCCCCCCCCCCCCCCCGCATTATGGTGTCCTGAGCACTTTTGTGCTTTTTCTTTTAAGAAGCCATTTCTTTTAAGAAGCCACACACAGCTGTGGGTGTTGGCAGAATAACTAACACAGCAAGGGTGCACAACCTGATTAAAGATAAAGGCTTATTCCTATACTAGATAGGAAAGAGGAGAGACAGAGATAGGTTCCTAACTACATCTCGAGCTGAGACAGAGGGAAAGACTGAGTGAAGGACTTCCAAGAAGAAGGGGGAAATTGCCCTAAGAGTAGCAACTTGGAGACAGACAAGGAAGGACACTCAACAGAAGAGAGAAAGTGCTATCCTCACTATCCTAATTGTCTTCTTGCTGTCCCCTGGATGGTCTTCTTCTCTTCTTTACACACCAGACATTGCCTTTTCCAACACTGGGGGATCTGAGTTGGGAACCTGAACCCAACACTCTTTAAAAACACTAATGTGTACTTTGGCCCTAAGTCTTGTCATTCTAGTCACCACACCACACTGAATAAGAAAGACCTCAGCATATACACCCTAAATAGCCAAAGCTGACAGTTGGTTACAAAACTCCCAACCACATCAACCCTCATTGCAGAGAGGGGGTGGCAACAGCGGGGCGGGAGGACTCTCTCTGCAGGGGGACACTCTATGCAGGAAATTTAGCAACAAATGTAATGAGAAGCAGACTAAAGCATTTTGGAGGTTAGAAATAAGGTTTGGACCTGAAGCAGTTCATCAAGGCTACAGTTTCATTGTACAGCTTATTGGTTTACCAAGACATGTTGTGAGCCACCCTGAGCCCACTTGCAGGGTACAGTGGGATAAAAATCAAATCAAATAATAAAAAAATAAAAAATAAACCTCTTGAGAAGCTCAGTTTTCTTTTATTCTAAACAGGCTTTGGACCTTATATGGATGAAAACCCTTACTGCTGACTTGGGACAGCCGGTGGTCAAAACGCCAAATGCACAAAAAGGGGGAGAAAAAAACTTCCACCCAGAAAACCCAGGTAACCCAGAAGGCTGACAACAGGCCTAATGGAAGGACGATCTTGGTCCCTGGCGTTAGCTGTTGGACCCACTGGGTCCTAGCATCACCTCCATCCCAGGAGAACATCAGCAAAGGAGAATCAGATCCGGATACCAACGCCTGTCCATAGTTCATTTTTCAGTTCTAGCACTATCCAACTGAAACCACACTCCTGCCCATCTTTCTTCTCCCTTCCCTCGTGCGCTTTGTCATTACAGTCCTGAAACCCGAGGACCCCGCCCGCACCTTATCCTCAGTTACTGTGCCCGCCTTCAGCTTTGTGTACTGAATTTTAATTTCTGTGAGCTGCTTTGGGATTGTTGTTTAAATCTGCAAAGCGGAGGGTTTTTTAAAAAATACATAAAATAAAACAAAAACAACAAATGAATCAAACAAAACACAAATTGGATACTCCACCCGCTGCCAGATTGCTTCCTGGCCGGTGAATGCTAGAGCCATGTTGATGCCGTGGAGGGCCATCCAATCGATCTCTTGTTCCCACCGTTCCCAGCTCCACCAGACGTAGGAGTAGCTCTGAGTGCAAACATTTTGGTAGAAGCGGAACCTGGGAAAGAAAGGATAATATAGTTACCAAAGGCTTTGGATCTGCCTTCCTAGGCAGCTGGTGTCTTTAGTCACTTGCTTGAGCCATCTAAAGCAGTTCGCCGCCCGTACACTTTTCCTAAGATACATCTGCTCATCTTTTTCAGATGGCCAGGTCTGAAAAAGTGAATGGGGAAACCTTTCCATGCTGCAGGGCATTGAACTCTTTTGGTCTCATCCAGCTTCATCGTTCTGATTTTTAAGTGTTCTGCTTTTATCCCATGGAACTCTGGGAGGTGTAGTTCCTGAAGGCAACTAATTAATCCATCGGATAATGCCGGACCCTTTTGCAGAACCACTGTTCCCAAAGCCAAAGGAATAGCATGCTCCCGTGTGGGTGGCAAAGGTGAGCTTAAAACAGAAAGGGCAACGGACTACCTGGTGTAGCTTTGCACATTAAACAAAGCTGTTGTTGTATTTGAACTGTGAAAGGCTGCATCAATTACTACTTTTATACAGAGCAGAGGTGTCAAACTCATTTGTTACGAGGGCCGTATCTGACATAAAAGTTACTTTGCCAGGCCTGCCCATGTCTGCCATAAAATGAAATGCCAGGTACCGGAGATATAAACTTTATAAATGACACAGGTAAACCCAATTAATAATATTATTTTTTACTCAAAATGCAAACAAAAGCAAATGATTCCTAGGAATGAAAGCAATTGATTTACGGGGGAATCCACAAAAGCCCCGATAAATGTATTTAATCTTATGGAAAACTAGTTTTTTTTTAAGGGATACAACACCCATACCCAAGCAATTTCATTTCTTGACAGCTCTGATCACACTTCACTGTGTGTGACTGCACACCCACTCCCCCCCAGCAGCCTCCTGCCTTCCCTCCCTCACACCAGTTGCTCATGGGCTAGATAAAAGCCCTAGACGGGCCGGTTTCAGCCCCTGGGCCATATGTTTGACACCCCTGAAACAGATTAAAATGTGGAATTTGCTGCCACAGGATTTAGTGATGGCCACAGGAACAGCCATCTTTAAACGGCAATTAGATAGATTCGTCCAGAGGAACTGGTTGGTCCCCGTGTTTATTTCGTGATGATCACAGGAACAGCCATCTTTAAAAGGCGATTAGATTCATCCAGAGGAACTGGTTGGCCACTGTGTTTATTTTGCGAATGGCCACAGGAACAGCCATCTTTAAACGGCAATTAGATAGATTCGTCCAGAGGAACTGGTTGGTCCCCGTGTTTATTTCGTGATGATCACAGGAACAGCCATCTTTAAAAGGCGATTAGATTCATCCAGAGGAACTGGTTGGCCACTGTGTTTATTTTGCGAATGGCCACAGGAACAGCCATCTTTAAACGGCAATTAGATAGATTCGTCCAGAGGAACTGGTTGGCCACAGGATGTGGGATTAGATGGACTATTGCTCTGATCCAGCAGGGCTCTTCTTATGTTCTTAATGCAATGCCACAATTCACAAGGCTGCACAAGTAGTGCCTTTGCACAGTCAAGGGCAGCTATATCATTTTTATCATTTTTAGGGAGTGTTGTCCTACATTTAGGGTTTTCTTCCTGTTTGAGTTAATAACAGTCTCTCACTGGGTTGTCTTCAGGACAAAAGGTAGAATGTTGCAAGCCATTGGGGGGGGGGGGAAATGAGGCCACTGTGTTTATTTCATGATGGCCACAGGAACAGCCATCTTTAAACAGCGATTAGATAGATTCTTCCAGAGGAACTGGTTGCCCACTGTGTTTATTTCGTGATGGCCACAGGAACAGCCATCTTTAAATGGCGATTAGATAGATTCGTCCAGAGGAACTGGTTGGCCACAGGATGTGGGATTAGATGGACTATTGCTCTGATCCAGCAGGGCTCTTCTTATGTTCTTAATGCAATGCCACAATTCACAAGGCTGCACAAGTAGTGCCTTTGCACAGTCAAGGGCAGCTATATCATTTTTATCATTTTTAGGGAGTGTTGTCCTACATTTAGGGTTTTCTTCCTGTTTGAGTTAATAACAGTCTCTCACTGGGTTGTCTTCAGGACAAAAGGTAGAATGTTGCAAGCCATTGGGGGGGGGGAAATGAGGCATAAATGATGTAAATAAAATAAAATAGAAATAAAGAGTTTGTTCTTTGCTGCCTTAGGAAGCAGGCAAAGCCCCCTGGGTGATGGCTCTTCTAGAATTCCCCGGCTCTCCGTGGGAACCCAGGGCTGACACACCAGCAGCGTCTCCTGTTTTCATGTGGAATGGAGAACCAAGGTCACACGAGGCTCTCCATAAACCCTGCCAGCATCAATGTTCCTTACAAGCCAGGGGATGGCTTCTCTAACGAGCCCCCCTCGTCCCCCCCCTTCAAAAACGTCAGGGCCAACTGAGCTGACCTTGGAAAGAACAAGACCAGCAGATTGACGTGACTGCCAACACGCAGAAAGCACAACGGCACAGACTGGATGTGGCTGTCCCGATGTTCACTTGCACCGCAGGGAAGGCTAGATGCGGCGGAACAAGGGAGAAGGAAGTGAAAGAGCCACTCCCCACCCCCAAACTGCTTGGAAACCCTCCATGACCCCGATTCCCACCAAAGAGTCTCAATTTGAGGTCACTTACCGCTGAGAATGTGCCAGCTTTGTACTGAACTTCCTAAAAATAGGGAGATGCTCAGTATTTTTTGCCTACTCTAGTTAACTTTGAATATCAATATCCTGTTAGTTTTTTTGTTGTTTTTTTCCACATAATGCTAGGGGCTATACAAAAGACACCATTCCTTTTTGGACAGAGTTACCACCCACATTTGAGTAGGCGTCTCCCAATTCTGCATCAAGATTAGCTTTGGACAAGAGCCTTGAAACTTTCTATGTAGTCCGGAGAATGTAATGGCTATGCCGCTGTGTTTGCATTGGCCCAACAGAAACCGGAAAAAGTATTTCTAGGCCAGGAGTCTGCAACGCGGCAAGTGTTTTCGGGAAGTGGGTGGGGCCAAGTAGGGCTTTTGCCCAGCAAGGCTTCTGATCGACTGCTGGAGATTTGATTGGCTGTGCAGATTTTTTGAAATTTTGCTTTGACAGCACCTGCCACCACAACACAGGGATCTGCACTATGTTACTGATGTCAAGCTGCGGCAACCATTTTGTGGCTGGCTCCGCCTCCCGTGGCAGCCATTTTGTTGTTGCACCCACCAGAATTCCAAATGAGCCTGCAGGCTCAAAAAGGTCGGTGACCCCTTTTCTAGGCTAACATTAACTTATAATACAATCAGGTACCAACCCACAAATGGTCTGCATGGGATTTATGACTATTATTACCCACTTTCTAGATGAGGGAAGTAAGACTGAGGGAACTCACTTTCCCCAACGACTACACTGGGATATTAATAATTATTGTATTTTAAAAGCAGCATCAATATCTATAGGTCTTTACATGAGCAGAACCATGTCCCATGTACATTTTTATCCCACCTTTCCTCCAAGGAGCTTAGTGGCATTGTTCTGTGCTTCTCCATTTTATCCTCACAACAACCCTGTGAGGTAGGTTAGGCTGAGATGGGGACTGGCCCAAGGTCACCCAGCAAGCTTCCACAGCAGAGAGGAGCTTTGAACTCAGTTTTTCCATATTCCAGACTGACACTATAACTGCTACACCAAGCTGAGTCCCAAATCTAGCTTTAACACCAAGAGGGTAATGGCTAAGAGACTGAACCGATGCCAGAAGGCAATATCAGAGGAATGCCCAGTTATTGTCCCTCTGCAGTAATTGGTTGGCCACTGTGCCAGGCAGGATGTTGGAGGAGGAGGAGAGTTGGATTTATACCCTGCCCGTCACTTGGAGTCTCAGAGTGGCTTACAATCTCCTTCCTTTCCCCTCCCTACAACAGACACCTTGTGAGGAAAGTGGTATTGAGAGAGCTCTGAGAGAACTGTTCTTGAAAGAACAGGTCTGAGAGAACTGTGACTGACCCAAGGTCACCCAGTTCTCCAGATTAGAGTCCGCCGCTCTACATCAAACTGGCTCTCTGGACTGGATGGAACACTGGTCTGATCCAGCAGGGCTCTCTTTCTGTTCTTATCCAGGAGGCCACCTGGTCAAATTTCATTTCGGCCATGAACTCAACAGAGGGCTTTAGCCTCCGTGCCTGTTGATGGGATTTCTGGGGGCACCTGGCCAGACACTGAAAAAGGAGGATGTGGTACTCGACAGGCCATCAGCTTGATCCAGGAGCACTCTTTGCATGCTCTAAAAGGGGTTGGTATAAGGCTAACACACACACCCCCATGCACTACATGTATTCTAGAAGGATATGCTAAAATACAGTGGCTGGGGTTTAAACCTACTTGGAAGGGCTGCCTGGAACTCAGAACCAGCCTTTTAATCTCCAAGCCCTTCCCAGCCACTCTTGATTTTTGAAGTAACAATACTGGTGCACAGGGAAGGAAAACAGAGTGTATTTTTTAAAATATATATATTTATTTGTTAGCAAGCGACAGTGGCAAGATGAACTTTGGCACCTTATTGCTGGATTTAGGAGAATTTACTTACATATCACAAAACTCTGCAAAAGCTTTCCAGAGCTGATTTTGTCGTGTTTTGGTTAGTCCTAATTTTTTTTAAACCCAAAAACTATTGTACAGCTTCTTCATAGATAGAGACTTTAGGCCTTTCACAGAAACCCAACAAAGGTCCCTGCCACATGGCAGGAAAAACGACGGGCGAAGTGCGGCTAATCTGAGCCGCACCAAAGTTGAGACACCGTGGCGGGATCCCATGGATCCCCTGAGCCGCGGCGCCGTCGCTCCCCAGCATGATCAGATGCCGGGGAGAAAGTGACGGTGGGAAGGGGAGGCTAGCGAACTGCGCATGCTCATACATGCGCAGTTCGGCCAGGAGCAGGGGATGCCCCAGCGCAAGGACGCACCGGCGATCCCACGGCCGCACTTGCCGCGGCCCTTCAGGATGAACCACCCAGGTAGGTGGTTCTTTTTTGGTGTGGGATTTTGGGCGGGAGGGACGGATCAGGGACGGCCGGGCAACGCTTCCCAGATGTTGCCGTGGGATCGCGCCCATTTGCCGCGCATCCTGTTCCGTACCTCTCCCGGCCCATTTCCTCGCGTGTGACCGGGGCCCACAACTGCTTTCTGTACATGAGCACCTCATAGATTTCCATCTTATCACAGAGTTGTTGAAATGCTCAGTCCATTCAAACTTACTTTGTGTTCTGGACATGCTCAGAGGTGCTCTTTGTACTCCCCACATGCCCAAGCCGAGACCTGATGTGCCATCTGTTCAGCAAGTTAATACAGGCAACAATAATGTATCTTCAGGATAAAGCCACCACATATGTTCATAATCTGCATCAACAATATCACAATACAAAAACAAGGATGTTGTATGAACATACAAAAAAGTTGGTATGTTTATTATGAATGGATTGAGTGCTACTAAAACAGAATATGCAAGGTTATGGAAAAGATTCTAAACCAAAAGGAATATATAGAACTATTACAACAACCGGTGTTAAAGAGCTAGAAGAGAAGAACAAGAAAGGAAGAACAAGAGGTCTGTTTCAGAAGATCCATGAAATCAAGGGGGAATTTAAAGCATAGTTAGGCATGCTGGAAGATCAGCCTGGAAATACATTAATTGAACAGGACAAAATAAAGAAAAGATGGGAACAACACAGTGAAGAACTATGCAGAAGAGATGAGAAGATGACAGATTCCTTCAAAGAAGAAACTTTTGCAGAACCACCTTATTATTTATTTATTATTATTATTTATTAAATTAAATGTATCAAACGCCCTCCCCAGTAAAACCAGGTTCAGGGTGGTGTACAATAAAGTCGTATAAAAGATCAATACAACAAGTTAAAATTTACATAAAGAAATAAAAACATAAAAATAATCTGATTAACTGCTTACAGATGGTGCTAAAATCCAAGCCATGCTGCTATCTCGTCAGAAATGGGCGGGGGCAGGGGTCGTTTCGTAGAAAAAGAGCTAGGGGAACTCATTAGCATAACTCATTAGCATATGCCACACCCCCTGACATCACCGGAAGTGTGTCATAAGGCCACACCCCCTGACATTACCAGAAGTGTGTCATAAGGCCACACACCCCGCCCCCAACGGTCCCGGCCGCCGCCACCAGCCTTGCAGCTCCACTGCCGAGTCCCATGAGGGGCCCGGCGGTGGACCTGCAAGGCCGGCAGGAGTGAAAGGAAGCCCTGCAAAGGCCCTCCCTGGCCCCAGGCAGGCAGGGGTGGGGAGAGGCAGGGAGGAAGCAACTTATCCTCCCTCTTCTCCTGCCTCCTCCTGGCTGAATGAGGGCCGGAAGCGGGGCGGCCGGAAGCAGGGGGCGGGGCTTCGTCATGTGCCCCCCCGTACCTCACCCGGGGGAACTGCGATCCCCTGCGACCCCCCCCGAAATGACCTCTGGGCGGGGGAGAAATGGAAAGTGGAAGTGCCAAGACTGAACCGTCGCTGGCCTCAACCAAATGCCTGGTGGAACATCTCTGCCTTGCTTGCCCTGCAGAACTGTAAAATATCCCACAGGGCGTATATGTTATTCAGCAGAGAGTTCCACCAGGTCGGAGCCAGGGCAGAGAAGGCCCTGGCTCTGGTAGAAGACAGTCGGATGTCTCTCGTGCTGGGGACCACCAATAAGTTCTGGTATACTCTTCTGGGGGTATACCAGGAGAGGCAGTCCTGGAGGTACGTAGGTCCCTGAACGTTAAGAGCCTTAAAAGCCTTTAATTTTAGAAAGTGAAGTGAAAGCTGCACTCAAAGCAATTAGGAGAAAGAAATCACTAGGAAAAGACAGGGTATCAATAATGCTATTTCAGGTCATTAAAAGCAAAGATATGTCAACAAATACAGAAAACAAAACAATGGCCCATAAACTGGAAAACTCAATCTGCATTTCAGTTCTGAAAAAAGGAGACATCAAAGACTACAGCAGCTATCAGACCATTGCATTAATCTCCCACACAAGTAAAGTGATGCTAAGAATCTTACAACAAAGACTGTTACCGTATACGGAATGAGAAATACCAGATATTCAAGATAAATTCAGAAAAGGAAGAGGTACAAGAGATTATATTGCAAATTTATGGTGGTTACTGGAACCTATGAGATAATTTCAGAAAAAAATCAGCTTGTGTTTCATAACTTACAGCAAAGCTTTTGAGTATAAAAGAAGTGGGTGTGTCACAACGTGTGATTGTTTTGATGTGCAAACTCTGGATAAGATGCTACTGTTGGGACAGAATATGGAGAAATGGGTCAGACAAGGATGTATTTTATCTCCCTATCTGTTCAATTTATATGCAGAACATATCATAAGGAAGGCGGAATTAGATTTAGATGAAGGTGGAGTGAAAACTGGTGGAAGGAACAACAACAATCTGAGATATGCAGATGACACCACATGACCGGCAGAAAATAGTGAAAGCTTGAAACGACTACTGATGAAGGTTAAAGCAGAAAGTGCCAAAGCAGTAGTACAGATGAACATCCAGAAGGCAAAGTAATGACTACTGAGGAATTACACGGCTTCAAATATGATGACGAAAAACTTAACAGTGTTCAAGATTTTCTATTCCTTCGCTCCACCATCAATCAAATGAGAGACTGCAACCAAGAAATCAGGAGACTGAGAACGGGAAGATAAGAGAAGGAGAAATTGGATTTATACCCCGCCCTTCACTTGGAGCCTCAGAGTGGCTTACAATCTCCTTCCCTTCCTCTCCCCATAAGAGACACCCTGTGAGGTAGGCAGGGCTGAGAGAGCACTGAGAGAACTGCTCTTGAGAGAATAGTTCTGAGAGAACTGGGACTGACCCAAGGTCACCCAGCTGGCTGCATGTAGAGCAGTGGGGAAATCAAACCCAGCTCCCCAGATTAGAGTCCACCGCTCTTAACCAGTGCAAACTGGCTCCATGAAGGGCATCCATGAAGGATGTAGAAAAGAACCTTAAGCGTACAGAAGAAGTCTCACTGGCAACCAAGTTCCAAGATAACCCATACTATAGTATTCCCCATTAGTATGCATGAGTGTGAAAGCTGGACAATGAACAATGCTAACTGGAAGAAAGCTGATTCATTAGAAAAGTTCCGTTGGAGGAGAGTTTTGCGGATACCGTGGACCGCCAACAAGACAAATGGGTTCCACATCTCCCTAGAAGCTAAAATGACCAAACTGAGGTCACATTATGAGAAGTCTGAAGGCAGCAAGAAAAGAGGAAGACTCAACATGAGATGGATTGACTCAGTCAAGGAAGCCACAAGGGCCCTTTGTTCGCAAGGCATGAGCAAGGCTGTTAACTCTGGGCACTCTGCACAAGCACTGAATGCGTGGATTATGACACGTGATTATTATGACAACACTTAGCAGGACTGTAGACATGACTGCCACTAGGGCAACAAAGGCGGCCCTGATTCAGAGTCAGGGGCTTGAGACAGGAGAGTGGCTGGAACTAACAGGAAATACAGCCCTGGCAGAACAACAGCAGGCTGTAGGATTTCAAGGTAGAAACTGCCCTGGAGACAGCTCAGGGTAACAGACGGCAGAAGAAATGAATCCACAGAGGACACATCAGCTCCATTTGGATTATAAAGGACCATCCAAAATCAATTTTCTGATAGCAGCCAGCCAGTCAGTCATGTGCTGTGGGGGAACAAAATAGCCATGTCTACTTCCTGGTCATGTTCCCTAGCAGCTGCATGGCCAAATATGTACTTTTCCTGATTGTGGAAGGCACATTTCCGGGTTTTATGGCCTGGAGCCAATTGACAACTTCTGTCTTAAAAGTACAATTATTCCTCCTGAACAAAGTTTGAGTCCAGTGGCACCTTTAAGACCAATGAAGTTTTATTCTAGGTATAAGCTTTCGTGTGGATGCACACTTCTTCAGATACTCGAATATGAATCAGTGTCTGAGGACATTGATTCATAGGTATCTGAAGAAGTGTGCATACGCATAAAACCTTATACCTAGAATAAAACTCTGTTGGTCTTAAAAGGTGCCACTGGACTCAAACTTTGTTCCGCTGCTTCAGACCAACACAACTACACAACTGAACTGATTCTCAGGGTTGCTCTAAGGCTAATTCCCCACACGTTGGATAATGCACCTTCAATGTGCTTTAGCAATCTTTTGCAGTTGGGATTTTCCTGTGCAAAACAGGAAAATCTGCTTGCTAAAGTGCACTGAAAGTGCGTTGTCCAATGTGTGTGAAATTAAGTCAGCAGCGACTTGAGGGCACTTAACACACACACACACACACACACACGCAAAAAAAAAATAAAATAAGAGCCACAACAACAAAAATCCCTTCTCCTCTGACCCCGAATCACCTGTTGGGGCTGGTGACAATTATTTCGGAGGCTACCGGGGGCAGCCTCTCTGGGAGTCGGAGCTGCCTGCCGGACCACGAGACGTGGCAGCCGCAAAAGTCCTTTAAATAGCGATAGATCCCCGAGGCGGCGGCCACTCCGCTGGAGCCGGCGACGTCGACCAATCCCGGAGTCCTGGAGCTCAGCCGGTACGTGTCGAGACCTCCGGGCCCGGCTAAGGAGTGGTTCACCGACACCGTGAAGCCGGAGGCGGCTCGCGGGCCCACCAGCCGCTCCAGCAGCTCCCGCACCGCCCCTGCTTGCCTCGCCTCCGCAGCCTCAGGCCGCAAACTGGCAATCGACTCCCACCGCGGGGCGCAGGAAGCCCCAGCCGTCGCGGCCGCCAAGAGAACCACCAGCCCGGGCAGCGCCATCGCGAGCCCCCCTCCGAGGAGCGATAACGAAGCCAACGTTCCAAAGCGCCGTCCTCTTCCCACGCGCGCTTTAGCCAATCGACGGTCGGGCTGTCGGTGGGCGGAGCCCTGGCGGACCAATCGGAGCGCTAACCAGGCCCTTCGGATTGTAGGCCGAAGCAGTTGCTTTGCGGCAGACTGCGGTGGTCGAATCCGTTTTTGCTAAGTCACATATGGTGGGGCTGGGTTCATATGGCTCTATTGTATTTCTTCCGCACAGTTTGATCCGGACCTTCCTCCAAGGAGCACAGGGCAGGGCGCAAAATTCTTCAACCCTCCATAATTACAGCACAACAACCCTGTGAGGTGGATTGGGTAAAAGTCGGAACTAGATGATTTTAAACGGATTGGACCTGACGTGGATAGCCCAGGTCTCTGAAGCTAAGCAGGGCCAGCCCTGGTATTTGGAAGGGAGACAAAAGAAAAGGAAGCAAAAAAAAAGTTCATATGATGTTTACATTGAAACAGAATTACCACCACCACCCCCATCGTATTGTAGAGCATATGTTAGTCTATAGGCAGGACCATAAAAACTGCAGATCCACTGGTTCCCGGCACCGCCACAGCACAAAATTGTGGTTCCAAAGCTTGGATTGTCTCGGAACCTCAGGATCTTCGGATTGGGTCACTGCAAACTCACCATCAGATCACATATCATGGCCATGGCCACAGACTGCACCACAAAAATAATGGATCCACTGCTTCGTAGCACCACTGTGGCACCAAAGCATAGTTTGAATGCACAAATCCTCAAGATTTTTATATCTGGTCACTGCAAATTCACAGTCAAATCACATATGGTGTCTATGGCCACAAACTGTACCACAAGAATCATGCATCCACCACTTAGTGGCATCACTACAGTGCAAAAACATGAATCCAAGGCATGGATCTTTAGGATATTTCGTTAGGTCACCAAACTCACCATCAAATCACATTTTATGTCCATGGCCACTGAATGAAACACAAAAAACACCCTTTTCGCCGCCGAAGGCAGTAGCACAGAGAGAGTAGACTTTTCAGGGAGACATTTCTCTTCCTCTCCCCATTTCATTTTCACACGAACCCTGTTAAATGGTTTGTGAGAAAAGAGAAAGCTGGTCTGTAAAGCTAGCAGACTGCTGGTTTTTGGCATTCCCTTCCATCATCACATTCATTGTGAAGTCTTTATGACAATGTGAAGGCTCTGTTGCCTGTTCTACCCACTCAACTGCTTGTTCCATGAGCCCAGAGAGCAGCATCCTGCAGTCATTTAAACTTTGGATTGCCTTGGTGGTGTATTCCTTGAGAGGAACAGATGACACACATGCATGTCTCATGATTGGAAACAGAGGCCGGACAAATGTCAAGCTCAAGACACTTGTTTGTCAGCTTTTCCTAAGGCTTATACCCTACTTAAAAATTTCCATTTAATGTACAATCAGCCCTGGGCCAGAAAATGTTGCAGCCACATTTAGTTAACAGGAGGAACAATTGGGTGGGTAGCCATGTTGGTCTGAAGCAGCAAAACAGAGTTTGAATTCGGCGGCACCTTTAAGACCAACAAAGTTTTATTCAAGGTGTTAGATTTTGTGTGCATGCAAACGTCTTCAGATAAAATGAAATGGGAGTTACTAGTGGACTTATAATACCAGTGGACTGGTAACTTCCACTTCATTGTATCTGAAGAAGTGTGCAGGTGCACAAAACCTTAAACCTCAAATAAAACTTCATTGGTCGTAAAGGTAGTGGCACCTTTGTTCAGGAGGAATAATTCAAACTTTGTTCAGGAGGAATAATTGTAAGACAGAAGTTGTCAATTGACTCCAAGCCATGAAACCCAGAAATGTGCCTTCCACAATCAGGAAAGGTACATATTTGGCCTTGCAGCTGCTAGGGAACATGACCAGGAAGCAGACATGGCTATTGTTATGTATTGAACTCGCGTCTTGCCTGAGCACGGACTTAGCTTCCTTCACAGAACAATAGGGGACCAGGATCCTGGAAGGAACCTATTGTACAGGAATTCTTATGTAAATAACCAATCACGGGGATTGTGTGTGTGTGTTGGGTGTGGTGTTGAGCACGCATTTAAGCAGGGCTTCGGTCCTGCTTGAGTTGTCTTAGAGTGGAACTAATCACTAAATAAAGCATGAGCTGATCACTAACACGTCTAAGAACCCAGTACATTTCAGCTATGACTAATTTCTTCTGCTGTCTGTTACCTTGAGCTGTCTCCAGAGGCAATTTCTACCTTGAAATCCTACAGCCTGCTGAGATCCCTTTGCATGTGGTTCTGGAGCTGTATTTCCTGTTAGTTCCAGCCACTCCCCGTGTCTCAAGCCCCTGACTCTGAATCGGGGCCTCCATTGTTGCCCTAGCGGCTGCCATGCCTACAGTCCTGCTAAATGATGTCATAAGCCAGTGAGGTAACACAAGGGTTCAGTGCTTTTGCTGAGCACCCAGAGTTGCTCAGCGTGGCCGCCGTGGCTTGCAGCCCACTGTGTCTCATGATCTTTGTGCTGCGTCTTCTGAGGCTCAGTGGAGCTTCAGTGCCTTCCCCAAGGGGAGACGGTTCAGAGCAGTTCTCAGAGGAGGCCTCCAAAAGAGGCTGTGGACTCTTCCCTCCAGCAGTCCCAGGTGGGTAGCCCTGTTGGTCTGCACCCGTTTGTACCCCCTTGGAGAGAAAGGATCACAATTTACTTTTCCAGGATAAAGTGCTAATGTGGCTCCATTGAGATGTGGGGGGCTGCTCCGTGCCCTGTGGGCCTGCTTTTACCTGCATCCCTCCCCACCTTACTACAAGGTTCTGGTTTGGGTCACTGTGTGATAGGCAGCTGGGGATGAATTTCTGAAGGCTAGACCTCACTCTGCATCCCCCCCTTGCTGTTTTGGACCCTTGACTCTGAATCAGGGCTTCCAATGCTCCCTCTAAGCTGTGGAGTCCTGTGAGCAAAAATTCTACTTTGTGAGCTACCGGCATTAAAGTTGTGAGCCGGTGATTTGGCTGCTGCATAAATTAATTTGCTCTGGAGCCATCCTTCCTGACAAAAATGTGTGAGGCAGAGGCTAAAAAACGGTGAGCTAGCTCACACTAACTTAGCTTAGAGGGAACACTGCTTCCAATGTTGCCCTAGTGACCGTAGTGTTGCCAGGTCTTTCCAAGTCCCCGGTAGGACTTGGAAATTACTGGAGGGAGCAGGGATGTCCCCAACATGATGACATCACACAATGACATCATCACGTTGGGAACCAGCAAACACCCCCCCCCCCCTTCTTGCCAAAAGCATTTAAAGGGTCCCTTTAAATGCTTTTGGCAAGAGGCGGGGGGGGGGGCTGTACATGCCTACACTCCAAGGCGCAAATTCAGGTCACAAGGAGTTTCAACCAGTTTGGGAAATCTGTCCACCCTGTGGTCATTGAAGTCCTATCTGTTTCTCTTCCCCATTTCCTGGCATGGCCTCTCACCAACCTTGGTTCCCACCTAGGCAAGTCAATAAATTACTTCTGACTTGAACATTCTGGGGATAGAGAGGGTCAGAGAAGATTAGCATGCCAGGCTTGCTAGGCTTATGTCCTAGCCTGCTAGTCTGGTGTGGCCTAAGGTCTATCGAAGCATCTGCAGTCTACTAGTCAGACCTAGGCACCCCCCCCCCCTTTTCAGTGCAGCTCCAGAGCTCTCTCTCTACTCTCAGGTTTTTATTTTCCTGGAGCCCCCAGGTGCTGTGCCAATTCTCTCCAGTTCCCTGATTCTTACTCTGAATTTCCATATCCACATCTATGCCAGTCTTTTCCATTTGTTTTTTTGCTCTCCGGTCTGGCTAATTCTTCTTTTGGTTCTTTCCCCCTTTCTTCCCTATGCCATTTCCCATTCTAAGCTGTTAAATCTGGCTAATTCGATTTGTTTCTCAGTTTGGGGCCATTTAATTATCTCCTCGATCCTCCTTATTTCTCTCTGTGCTTGCTTACTGCTAACGGCTTATCTTTTTAACTCCACCAGTCTGTTTTCTTGGGTGGCATTTTGGTAACACTCCTAACACTTTGCCCTTTTCGGATTTTATCTCTGGAGTGTCAGATCTTTTTTCCACACCTGCCCTTTTATTTTAATACCTGGGGTCCTTATTACGGCTCCTATTTACTCCGTACCTTAGCTTTTATCTCAGGAGGGCAAATCCCTTTTGCCAGACTTGTATTTTCCCTTTTAATCTTCTGTGACCCTTTCCACAGCACCTCGCGCTACACCTGAGACATTTACCTTGAGGAAGGCTCTCTGGCCACAAACGAACTCCTTTTTCTCACCCACTTGAAGCTATAGGTGTTCTCTGCTTTACCTAGGCTTTTTACCTCAATAACGCCTTTTTAATTTGGAGGCTTGTATCCCAACACTGATATAACACTTTTTGATCACCTTTTCACTCACTTATTCCTCTCCATCACAATCCTGCTACACAGGTTCAGGGTTACAGGTAGGTCAAGGAGTCCCAGTTCACCACCCGTCTCATCTCTATTGAATTGGTAGGGAATCCCAACCTTTTTGCACAGACAGGAGGGTCCCGCCTCTCCCCTTCCCCAGAGACATCACCCAACAGGACAGCCCATTCCTCTATGTCCACCACCCCTCACCTAGATGCCTCACAGAACTCTTGGGGCCGAGAACAAAACACAGTTTTCCCTGTTACTCTGCCACTGTTTCTTCACAGGCACAAAAATGCATAACAAACAAGGCTTTACAGGTGTGGGAGACTGCAGATGTGTGTTTCTTTCCCTGAAACAATAGGCATCCAGTCAGCAGTACTAACTCAAAACAAAAGGAGTGAACTTCTATTGAAGGCCTAACATAATGAGGGGGAGTGATTCATCAATATGTACGCAAGATTTTCCAGTTCTTAGATTTTTGAACTCTAATCCATTTCGCGCTTCAAGGACTCTCCGTCACAAGATAATTTTTCCTCAGCCAGTGACACAGGACTCTTCTAGCTCTCCCTAGCTCAGAACCGTCAGCTCTTTACTCGGCTGCTGTCCAACTCCCATTATGACTTCCCCCCTCAATGATTGTTTTCCTGCTCTCAACATCCTGTTAGCTCCTAATGGCTACTCGTAGGGAGGCGGAACTGGAACTGTCCATCACACATGCCTAGTCCATAGAGATACCCATCAATATGTTGTGTGCGAGGGGGGAGGGGAGGCAACTGTCACTGTAAGGTGTTTGAGATTTTACCATCAGCAGCAGCCCTAAGGCCTGCACTAGTTTGCACCTCTAGGAGTGAAAGGGCCAGTTTGGTGTAGTGGTTAAGTGCACGGACTCTAATCTGGGAGAACTGGGTTGGATTCCCCACTCCTCCACTCGCAGCTTCTGGATGACCTTGGGCAAGCCGTAGATCTTCTTCGTGGTCTCTGTGCATTCCACACACTGGGATTTACGCCCGCGTCGATCCCTCGTCGGAAGCCTAGAAAGCTTCAAAGATAACCTCTTCTCCGCGGGGTCATCCCCCTGCCTCGCGAGCATGTCCCAGTGCGCATGCTTGGAGGCGAGGTAGACCCCGCCCCCACCCCAGTTCCTTTCTTACCGCCTAAGAGTCGGACGTTATTTCAGCATCTCTCTAGATAACCTCTAAGAAACACCTCAGTAGGTAAAAAAATCTGTAATAACCACAAAAAAGTTTACACACTACACACCTATGAGGAAGCGTTCGGGAGGACTGCCTTTTTTCAAACGATGTCCCGATTGTAACGCTAAAATTCCTCCAACTGACGGCCACGACCGTTGCCTGTTCTGCCTGGGAGAAAGCCATAAGCCGGAGCTCTGTCTTCACTGCTCCAGGTTCACTCGCCAAGCAAGAAAAAACCGTACTGCGCGTTTAAAGACTTTTGGCCTGCTTTTACCTGCATCCCTCCCCACCTTACTACAAGGTTCTGGTTTGGGTCACTGTGTGATAGGCAGCTGGGGATGAATTTCTGAAGGCTAGACCTCACTCTGCATCCCCCCCCTTGCTGTTTTGGACCCTTGACTCTGAATCAGGGCTTCCAATGCTCCCTCTAAGCTGTGGAGTCCTGTGAGCAAAAATTCTACTTTGTGAGCTACCGGCATTAAAGTTGTGAGCCGGTGATTTGGCTGCTGCATAAATTAATTTGCTCTGGAGCCATCCTTCCTGACAAAAATGTGTGAGGCAGAGGCTAAAAAACGGTGAGCTAGCTCACACTAACTTAGCTTAGAGGGAACACTGCTTCCAATGTTGCCCTAGTGACCGTAGTGTTGCCAGGTCTTTCCAAGTCCCCGGTAGGGGGGAGGGGAGGCAACTGTCACTGTAAGGTGTTTGAGATTTTACCATCAGCAGCAGCCCTAAGGCCTGCACTAGTTTGCACCTCTAGGAGTGAAAGGGCCAGTTTGGTGTAGTGGTTAAGTGCACGGACTCTAATCTGGGAGAACTGGGTTGGATTCCCCACTCCTCCACTCGCAGCTTCTGGATGACCTTGGGCAAGCCGTAGTTCTGATAAGAGCTGTTCTTGAAGAAAGAGCAGTTTCTGTCAAGAGCTCTCTCAGCCCCACCTACCTCACAGGGTGTCTGTTGTGGGGAGGGGAAGGGAAAGGAGTTTGTAAGACGCTCTGAGACACCTTTGGGTAGTGAAGGGCAGGGTATAAATCCAATCTCTTCTCTTCTATTTACTTTTTCAAGAAAAAGTGCTACTGTACCCTCAAGAGACTCCATTGGGATGGGCCTGCTTTTGCCTGCATCCCTCCCCATCTTACTACAGAGTTCTGGCTTGGGTTGCTCTGTGATAGAGAGTTGGGGATGAATTTCTGAGGACAGAGATGGCCGTGTGTGAGGTCGCCTCTCACCCTGCGCTGCCTTGCTGGTTTTGGCCCCTGACTCTGAATCAGGGCCTCCATTGTTGCCCTAGTGACAGCCAGGCCTGTCGTCCTGCTAAATGAGGTCATAATCCAGTGAGGTAACACAAGGGTTCAGTGCTTTCGCTGAGCACCCAGAGTTGCTCAGAGTGGCAGCCGTGGCTTGCAGCCCACTCACTGGGTGTCATGATCGTTGTGCTGCGTCTTCTGAGGCTCAGTGGAGCTTCAGTGCCTTCCCCACGGGGAGAAGGTTCAGAGCAGTTCTCAGAGGAGGCCTCCAAGAGAGGCTGTGGACTCTTCCCGCCAGCAGTCCCAGGTGGGTAGCCCTGTTGGTCTGCAGTAAGAGGCCCACTCTAGTTTGCCCCCCTAAGAGTGAAAAGGCCACCATTTACCTTTCCAGGAGAGCGCGCTAAAATACCGATTCCATTGGGATGGGGGGGTGGGGGCTGCTCCCTGCTCCAGGGGCCCGCTTTTGCCTGCATCCCCCCCCCCCCACTACAGTGTTCTGGTTTGGGTCATTTTGTGATAGGCTGGTGGGGATGGATTTCTGAGGACAGGGATGATTGCGTGAGCTCTGCTCTCATCCTGCACCAGCTTGATGGTTTTGACCCTTTCTCATCTCCCCCCACCCCCAACTCCTCAGTGTTCCTTAACAGGCTCTATAAGAGCAAGGGGTGAGCCTGCTTTGATAAGGGACAGGTCTCAGTGTGTGAATGAAATACACAACACAACTGTGGTGGACACAGTTCACAGCAGAGCATCCTCAGAGAAGGAAGCTAATATGTTCAGCTGTGGCAATGCAAGGTAGACAAATGCTCCCTCTAAGCCGTGGAGTCTTGTGAGCAAAATTCTACTTACCGCATCAATTAGTTTGCTCTGGAGACATCCTTCCTGAGCGAAGACCAAAATGTGTGAGCTAGAGCCTTAAAAAACTGTAAGCTAGCTCACACTAACTCAGCTAAGAGGGAACATGAATCCCTTTGTGATGTATCACATTTTACCCTTCTGTTTAAATAAAGCCCACAAACCAGGTTTCTAGGTTTTACAGCTGCAAGAAACAGTTGGAAAATGGGACCACACTGGTGCAAGAGACAGGATCAAGCAAACCCTCCAGCAGGGATGGGCGGTGTTTGTCCTGACAGGACTCTAGACAGAAATTCAACAGATGCAGCTTTCCCCAGCATGGAGCCGCTGTCAAAAGAAATGCTTCCCCTTTGTCAACTGTTGCCTGTTGAGCCTCCGATGGATGCACTGAACTCTGGCAGGAAAACAGCGGCAACTCTAAGCAAGAGGTGGGGCTGCGCGCAGAGTGATGGGCAGCGGAAGCATGATGCAGTGAGTAAACGTATGCCACAGTGCTTTACTGTCACAACTGCTTCCTGTTCCAAGGTCTGCCCTTACTCAGCACAACATACGGATTTGATTTTTAAGAATATAGCCTTGTGCTTCTCTCAGGCTGGCTGAAGGTTTCCCCCGTATAAAAGATGCACCCTCCCTCGCTGCCACTGGGGAGGACAGAGGGGCCTGGTTTGGCCCCCGTGGTGACAGCACAGGCCCAGGAGGGGGCGTCTGCCCTCTCATGTGCTGCTGGTGACCAGGAGTGAGCTGAGCCACCCATTGGCTCTCTCCTCATGGGGCAGCCCCCAAGCAGTCCGTTCAGTGGGTTGGTCAGAGACCACCCAGTCATGCCTCCTTTGGCTGCTTTCTCTCTTGATAGGGTATCTGTGCCGCCCTCCTCAGAGACCTGCTGATGGCAGTCTAACATCACCTCCATAAGACTGTCCTCTTTAAGCCACTGACAAAAACTTGGCTGTGAGGTGAACCTCTGCAGGACACATCCAGGTACGGGTGCTTTGCAAATAAGACATGGTTTACAGTGACCACAGAGCCTTTGGTGTGACACAGTGGACGCCTGTGCTGCAGCCACAACTGTTTGGCTTGTCAGGCCGTGTCACAACCTCCAATCTGGGCCTTCCTCTTGTTAATGGTATTTTATGCCTCTCGATTTGCGACAATTCCCTCAGCCTGGAGAGTTGTGCAGCACCTCACCGCCCACATGCTTATTAATATCAGGTTCACTTTCCCCTTTGAGTGCATGAGGGAAAGTGGACGTTTAATTTAGTGTGTCTGCTCTGACACATACACAGGATCATGTCGGGAGTCCTCCTTCTGATATTGCCGGCCCCAGTGCTTGTTGTGCCAAGCTGCAAGGTCCGCTCTCTCACACGGGCCCTGTCGCTGTGGCTTCTGTCCTGGTGATCTCACTGCTGTCCCTTGTGGAGCTGGATGGAACTCCAGTGCCTCCCCCAACTGGCTGCCACAGTGGCAGAGAGGTCCTGAAACGCAGCAGGATCAGCAATCCCCATTTTAAGTTAACTGAGCTAAAGGCAGCCATCCCAACGACGAGGCCTGGAAAGAGTCTGTGGATGCTTCCCTTGGGAAGTTCCAGGCGGGCAGCCGTGTTGGGTCTCTCAGTCAAGAGCAAGATGCAAGCCCAACAGCACCTTACAGGCCACCAAGATCTCCAGGGCCCCCTTCTCTCAGGCTCATTCGGAGTCTTCAGTGTTCTAAAAGGCCAACTCCACGTTCGAATCTTCACTCCAAGGACGTTCGTGAGGCCAGCAAATTCTCTCCCCCTCTGATACCAGCACTGACTGAGGGGCTCTGCTGCTGTACCCAGCCTGTGCAGACTTCCCCCATGCTGTGGGGCAGCCCCCAGGTGACGTGGCCACAGCGCTAAGAGTGGCTGGTCTCCTGGTCTCTCCTCAGCCGGAGGAGGGGCTTGCGGTATTTGCACTGGATCCACACCCTGTACATGGTCACTTGCTTTCCTCTGTTCACCTGGAGGCGGCGGTCCACCAGGTTTTGGACTTTCTCCAAGCCGGCTGTGGAGAACAGCAAATCCAACTCGCCTGAAGAAGGGAGGGGAAGAAAAGGAGGGGGGGGAATTCAGCTTAACTATTGAAGACAACTTTCAAAGATGGCTCCATTTCAGCATCACAGCTGGGAAACTGCCGGCATTTACATAGCAAGTCACCGGAACAAGGACACACTCCAGTCCACTGACACCAGGATACCCACCCAGCAATCCCAGTGGTTCCTTCCCGTCTGGTTTCTACTGACCAGCAAGCCAACTTGCTTGAGTCCTTAAGATCAGTAACCTTCAAGGGACCAAGAAGCAGCTTGCAAGCGAGTTACCTTGCGTGAAGAAATAAACTCTGGTGCCGTCTCCTCTCACATAAAAGTTATCCGCCAGACACTGACCTAGAAGAGAGGGAGGCAGGTTCTGGTTACGGCTCCACTGATGCCAATGGCGAAGAGTGGCTGGAGGCTGTGACAGCCCACTGGAGGCCAAGAAGGCCACACCAAGGTTGTCTTCCTTTTGAATAGCGGGTATAGTTGTGGTTGATGGTTTTTTTTTCTAAAAGGAAGCTTGCAGAGGAAGGCCAGTAAAAAGACTGAGGGATTCAAGCACCTTCCTTGTGAAGAAAGGCTAGAGGGTCTGGGGCTTTTCAGTTTGGAAAGGAGGCGACTAAGAGGGGAGACACGACACAGGTTTATACAATTATGCATGGGCGGATAAAGTGGACAGCGAACTTTTTCACCCTCCCCCATAATACTAAAAACTTGGGGGCACCCCATAAAACCAATGGGTAATAGACTCAAAATGGACTTATTTACTCAACAAGTATTTAAATTTGGGAACACTACCTGGGGATGTAATGCTGGCCATGAGCATAGATGACTTTAAAGGGGGACTAGACAGACTGGAGCATGGAACAACTCAAAGAAACAGTACAAGATCGGAAAACATGGAGAGAGCTGGCTCATAGAATCGACAAGAGTCGAACACGACTGAATGGCTACCAAAAACAACCGGACAGATTCACAGAGGAGAGGACCACCAAGGGCTACTAGCCATGGTGACTAAAGGGAGCCTCCCCATCCAGTGGCAGTCAGCCTCTGAATACCAGTGCTAGAAAGCAACAGCAGGGTGACTGATGCCTTGGCCCCTATGTCCTGTTTGTTGGATCTGTGGGGCAACTGGTTGGCCACTGTGGGAAACAGGATGCTGGACCAGATGGACCACTGGTCTGATCCCAGCAGGGCTGCATGGGATGCAGTGCTAACGGCTGAGAGCTGAAAGCAGGAGCGATGCCCAAAACACCCAGCCCTCCCTTCCACATTCTCATCCATCCGGAGGAACACGTGCCATTAACCTCCCCCATGTGCACACACTCAAAGTTGTGGGTCCCTCCCAGAAATGCTCTACCATCTGCTTCTTTAATTGTTCCAACCATGAAGGCCAAAAGCCTTTTCTCTTTTGAAACCAAGGACAGATGCAGTGGGAACGAATACAGCCCCACATAAATGTTCCCACGTACCTTTCTTGAAGCGGAGCTGGGCCAGGTCGTAACGGCCGTAATCTCGCAACAGAATCAGTCCACCGGGTTTTAGAAGCCGGCTAAGTCTGTGGATGACGACCGCTTCTGTTGTGGGGGGGGGGGGGGAGAGAATGAAAGAAGTTCTAAGGAAAGACTCTGCAGCCCCCCTAGTCTTTCAGTTTACTAAAATTAACTGAGGCCAAGGAAGGATTTTAACACGCAGGCATACGTCCAGCATAGTCTTTACAGTTTTTTCTTCTGCAAGTAGCAATGGAGGGAGGGAAGGCATCATTGTACAGCCTGATTTTGTCAGAACTCAGAAGCTAAACAGGGTGGGTACTTGGAAGGAAGACCACCGAGGAAGGCTCTGCGGAAGAAGGCAACGGCAAACCACCTCTTGAAAGCCCCTTGCTGGGGTCGCCATAAGTCGGCTGCAACTTGACAGCTTTACATACACACAAGGAGCAATGGGCAAACTCTCACCCCCTCCCCAATTTCAGGAATCACAACTTTGCTCTCTCTCCCTCTCTGTGATACACCAAAGGGAAACACCCCCTAATGTGTTAACATCCAAGAGTTCTACAGTGGCTCATAAAGCAACATTCTAAAGCCGGCGCTGTTTAACCTTATTTTTACCTGGGAGTGTAGCTCAGCAAAGGGGGGATTTGTGCAACAAACAAGCGCATGGGAGATGCTTCCCAGAGCCTCTGTATGGAAATGCATTTGGCGAGGCTGTGAAGAGCACTTTTGCATCAACCACATCAAAGGATAAAAAGGTCAAGAAAATAAAGGCTAGTGGGAAAATATTGCAGAGGAAAAAAAGAACGTATAGAAGTGTTCTTTTTCTGTGCAATGTTTCCGCAATAACTTAGAGCTGCTGGCTGTGGGAGCTGAGCAGCCTTCCAGAACTCACCCAGAAGAGCTCAGGAATCACATCGCGGCCTCCCCCTGGATGGAGACTCGGGGCCATCTGTGGGCCTGCCTGTTGTTCCTACAACAGCTTAACCCTCCTGCCCCCCGAAAAGTGTTGTGACTTTTGTTTGAGCCACTGGAGACCCTCTAAGATGGCTGAGCATTCTGGGCAATGCCAACTGGCATCCCCAGCCGTTGCAACCCTCATTCACACTCAGAGTGACTCGCCACAGAAATGCAGCTCTGCAGCTGCAGCCCGCCCCCAAATCCAAACAAGGCAAAGAGAAGCAGCTTACAAGCGGCGTGACATACTTTTCCGGAAGGAGCGCCGAAAGGACAAAGATCAGGACCACCACGTCGAGACTCTCATCCGGCACTGGAAAAGGCACCTGAGTGTCGCAGAGGTCGTGAACGAATGCAAAGCAGCGAGACGCGTCGTATTCTGGATGAGCCTGTTATTGCCACATGATTATCGCTCTTTCAACGAAGATCTTATTTTACCCTCACCACAGCCCTGTGGAGGAGGTCAGGCCAAGACACAGTAACTTGCTCAAGTCCTGTCCCAATGCCTTAATGTCTCAGTCTGGATCCCCCTAGCAAACACCTTCCAAACCATTTTACCACCTGCCCTAGATTTCAGCACCAGGACACCTCAAATCCTGCACCCGGATTAAGGCAGGCCTGATTTTATTACCTCCATTTCTCCCCCACTTTTTCCCCTATTGGGAACACAAAGAGGCTTTTCATTGCACTCCTCTCCTCCATTTTATCCTCACAACAGCCCCGTGAGGTAGGTTAGCCAGAGACTGTGTGGCTGGCCCAAGATCACCCGGTAAGCTTCCATGGCAGAGTGGGGAATCGAACTTGGGTCTCCTAGTTGGACATTTTACCTTGACAAGGTCCACGGCCCTACTGGAGAAGTCACAGCAGTACACAAAGAGGTTGGGATCACTGAAATTAAGCAGAGGAAAGAACGTCAGGACTGCTCAGTGTCATTTTCAGCAGG